GCTCCAACAAGTCCTTCGGTGGCCCCAAGAAAGCCTCTGGTAGCCCCGAGACAGCTCTGAGACGCTCTGGAGTGCGCGAGGACGGTCCCAGAGGACTCGAACGGATCCCCATGACAGCCCAAGACGGTCCGACGACGGGCCAGGTGCTTCGGAGAGCGGCTGGTCCAGACCCGATGGCGGTCCCTCGAGGCCAAACTCAGATGTTTTCCGGGGGCTTTAGAACGGCCTCAGACGGTTCCAGAGCCATCCCAGATCGCCCCAAGACAGTCCAGGAGGCTCCGCCTGGTGCCCCAAGACGGCCCCAGAGAGCCCAAATATTGCCCAGGAGAAGCCCAAGGCAGCCTCACAGAGCCCTGGGTGGCCCCCCAGGCGGCCCCCAGGGGGCCCTAGGAGCTACCCAACAGGCACTGAAGCGAGTTCCAAGACGGCCCGAGACCCCCTCCATGGCCCGAGGACGGCCCAAGAGGCACTGAAGCGAGTTCCAAGACGGCCCGAGACCCCCTCCATGGCCCGAGGACGGCCCAAGAGGCCCCCGAGACGGCCCAAGAAAGCCCAGAAATGTGCCCAGAGGGCCCTGGGAGGCTTTAGATAGACCCCCACGAGGGCTCGAAGAGGGGCCGAAGGGAGCCCAGACGACGCCCTTGCCGCAGCCTGCAGCGGGTCAAGAACCCTCCAAGAACCACTCCCACCTGCCCCAAAGCCTCCCAAGAGACTCCGATGGTCCCCAGGGAGCTCTCAAGGAGAGTGCCTCGAGCCACGGCGCCCTTTCGCCGTCTCTTGAACCCTAAACGCCCCCAACACCCCCAAGTGCCTCGAACCCTAGACCCCCAAGGCAGGCCCCAGGCCATTCCGAGATGCCCCAGAGCCTCCCAATAGACTCCGACAGTCCCCACAGAGCTCCCGAGAGCGGTTCCAGGGCCACTCCGAGATGCCCCAGAGTCGCCCGCAAGACTCCGACGCTTGCCAAGCTACTCCGACAGCTCCGACGGAAATCCCAAGAGCGGTCCCAGGAAGAGACTCCCATAGTTCTCACGGAGATCCCAAGAGCGATCCCAGGACCACTCCGAGATGACCCAGAGTCGACCTCAAGACTTCCCCCCCTTGCGGCCGAGTAGGGGTGACAGGGAAGACCTTCTCCTCTGATATCTTCCCCTTTCCCTCATCGAGGCGCCGGACGCTCTGGGGCCTCGTTTCCGCCTGTTGGGGGGTGACAGGGGGGACATGCGGCCACTTCGGTCGCCCCCCCTCTACGGCCGATTCGGGGCGACAGGGGGGGTCGGAGACCTGCAGGCACTGCGGGGACCACCATTCCGCTTCCCCCCATACAGCCGAGTAGAACCTTCGGTGGCCAGCAAGACAGCCCCAAGACCACGAGATCCCTCCGTGGACCTCACCGAGATGGCGCAGACTCTCCCAGGATATTCGAAGCCAGCCTCCAGCCCTGGATCCCAGAGCCTGCAGCAAACCCTGCAGCTGACCTCAGGGGTGACAGGGGGGACCTTCTGACAGCAATCTCACAGCACGCACGCACAATAAGGTTCCCGGGCTGTCCCCCAGACAAGGCCTTCAAGACGCCCCAGACAGGCGCGCAGGAGGGCCCAACATGCCCCCGACACGGCCCCGGGGACGCCCGAGCTGTTCAACTTCGACGAGCTGTTCACCCACGGTAGACGAGTCCCAGGTTCAGCACGCCATGGATTTCATCCTTGGGTTCACGGTAGTCAGCTACAACGCTGGGATCAGCGCGTGCGAGAAGAGTGAGCATTGGCGGTGGGCGCTCGCGCTGTTCAGCGAGATGCGGGAGGCGAAGCTGGAGCCCGACGCCATCTATACTACAATACCGTGCATGGCGCGTGCGAGAAGGGCAAGCGATGGTCACCCGCGGCGGCGCCCCGGGGGCCCCGCCCGTGGTGGGGTGACGCCGTCTCGGCACCAGACCTCCCCGGTCCCGACGCGGAGGCCTCGAGAGTCTCCCGGAAGCTCCCCAGCGAGCCCGAGAGGGCCCCAGGACGGGCTCTGAGGGCCCCCGCGAGCTCCCCCGGAGCTCCCAGGGAACCTCCACGAGGGCCCCGAGGCCGCGAAACTATCGATATTCTCGAGGGTTTTTGACGCCTCCGGTGGTGCCCCTCCCGCCCGCCCCAAGACGCCCACCACGGCACCGCGGGCGTCCGAAATCAGGCCCATGCTGCCCGGGGGGCCTCCAAGAGAGCCCCCAAGACGGCCCCAGAGGCCCCCGATCGAGCTCCCGGGGCCCCCAAGACTACCCAAGAACCCCCCCAGACAGCCCCAAGGGACGCCCAAGCGGGTCCAGTTCGGAGCGCTCCCCCCCCCTCCGAGCCCCTCCACGGCCAGTTGCAAGGCTCCAAGACGCCCCCGAGAGGCCACCAGAAGGCCCCGGAGGCGCTCCCAAGAGGCCCCCGGGCGCTCTCCAGAGGCTCCCAGAAGGCTTCAGAGGCGCTCCCAAGAGCTCTCACAGCCAAGAGCGTGGCCGCCTCCACCCCGAGAGCGTGGCCCCTTCGCGGGTTCCTCAGGACACGCCCCTGATTGGACAAAAACCACACCCCACACCTATTGGGACACGCATCGCCTGGGAGGGGATGCAAAAAAGCCCTGCTTGGACCACCCGCAGACGTCCCAGGCCCCCTTTCCGTGGACCCATCCCGTACGGAGCGTGTCCCAAGAGGTGTATGGGGTACGGTTTTCTCCATGCCAAACGCGCGATCCCCCCTCGCCTTCCTCCTCCCCGCCCCTTGCTCGCGCCCCCCTGTTCCTGCGGCTGCTGTTGCTGCTGCTGCTGCTGCTGCTGCTGCTGCTGCTGCTGCTGCTCCTGCTGCTGTCGTTGCCGTTGCTCTCCCTCCGCCTCGTGCTGCTCCGCCTGTTGGACCCCGCCGCCCCTCCATCCCTGCTCCCCCCTGCCTCTCCATCCCCGTCCTGCCCTTCCCACTTATCTGGGCCTTCTCACCTCTGGCCGCCAACCTCACCGCCTGCCATCACTGCTTCTGCTGCTGCTTCTGCTGCTGCTGCTGCTGCTGCTGCTGCTGCTGCTGCTGCTGCTGCTGCTGCTGCTGCTGCTGCTAGAGCTGCTCCAGACGCCGTCAGGATCATCAAGCAAACAGCGCACCCTGAAGCAATAAGCAGCAACGATTGCACGCTCAATCCTCTGGCATTCGTGGATGGTAGTCCACGGGTCAGCCCTAGTCTCTCCTACATGGCGGGTGGAAGCGCGTGCGAGAAGGTCAGGCACTCAAGTGCACAAAATCGTCCCTTTACGGCCCCAGGCTGGCCCCGGGCCGCCCCGGGCCGCCTCGGGAGGCCCCAAGACACGCCAAAAGGGCCCAGAGAGGCCACCAAGACGGCCCCGGAGGGCCCTGGCACGCCCAAAGATGGGCTTAGACGCTCGAGATTGGCCCAAGACGGCTCCAGAGACCTCCACGACGGCCCCAGAAGCCTCCCAAGAGGCCTCCCAACAGGGCCCCGAGTGGCAAAAATCGTGGATTTCCATTGTGTTTTTCTATGTTTTCGGCCTTCTCGCCTTTTCGGCTTCCCGAGGCTCCAAGACGGCCCCAGAGGTCCCCAAGACCGCTCCAAGACAGCCGAAGAGGCCCCCAGGAGAGCGTCAAGACGGGCCAAGAGGGCCCCAAGACGGGCCCCAGCAGGCCCCGGCGCGCTCCGAGACGCTCCAAGACGAGCCAAGGAAGGCCCCAAGAGACCTTCAAGATGGCCCCAGAGGGCCCCGGCACGCCCAAAAATGAGCCCAAGACGCTCAAGATTGGCCCAAGACGGCTCCAGAGGTCTCCAAGACGCCCCAAGAGACTTCCCAAGAGACCTCCCAACAGGGCCCCGAGTGGCAAAAATCTATGATTTCCATTGTGTTTTTCTATGTTTTCGGCCTTCTCGCCTTTTCGCCTTCCCGACGCTCCAAGACGGTCCCAGAGGTCCCCCAGACCGCTCCAAGACGGCCGAAGAGGGCCCCAAGAGAGCCCCAAGACGGGCCAAGAGGGCCCCAAGACGGGCCCCAGAAGGCCCCGGCGCGCTCCGAGACGCTCCAAGACGCGCCAAGGAAGGCCCCAAGAGACCTTCAAGATGGCCCCAGAGGGCCCCGGCACGCCCAAAAATGAGCCCAAGACGCTCAAGATTGGCCCAAGACGGCTCCGGAGGTCTCCAAGATGCCCCAAGAGAGGGTCCCGAGTGGCAAAAATCTATGATTTCCATTGTGTTTTTCTATGTTTTCGGCCTCCTCGCCTTTTCGGCTTCCCGACGCTCCAAGACGGTCCCAGAGGTCCCCCAGACAGCTCCAAGACGGCCGAAGAGGGCCCCAAGAGAGCCCGAAGACGGGCCAAGAGGGCCCCAAGACGGCCCCACGACTCCCCAAGACGGCCCCAGCACGGCCCAGGAGGCGCCCAAGACGGCTCAAGAGGCACCCAACAGCCCCAAGAGCGGCCCGAGACGGCCCAGGACAGCCCAAGAGGCGCCCAAGCCGGCCTCAGCTGACCCCAAGACGGCCCAAGAGGCACCCAAGACGGCCCAAGAGGGCCCTAAGAGCCTCCCCGGGAGGCCCAGAAGACCCCAAGTGGCTCCGAAACGGCCCCCACGAGGCCCTAAGTGGTTTCAGAATTGCCTCCAGGAGGGTGGGAGCGGACGAGAGGCGACAGGCATTTCGCAGACACTAAAGAGCCGTGCAGCATCAGCAGCACGCGTTGACAACGCAAGCGTCATTCAGCATCATGCAGCATGCAGCAACATCCAGCACCAGGCAAAAAGCTAGCAGCAGCACCAAGCCGTAGCAAGCAGCAGCCCACACCAGTCAAACCGCAGGCGGCAGCAGAAGAACGACAAAGCAAACAGCAGCGAGTAGCAGCAGGCAGCACTCAGCACAACAAGCGGCGGCCATGAAGCCTCCGAGAGCGCCTTCCAGCAGTACTCCCTCCACCCCGCAAGTGGACGGAGTCCACGGGTCAGCCCTAGTCAGCTACAACGTTGGGATCAGCGCGTGCGAGAAGGGCGAGCAGTGGCAGTGGGCGCTGACGCTGCTGAGGGAGATGTGGGAGGTGAAATTAGAGCCCGACGTTATCAGCTACAGCGCTGGGATCAGCGCGTTCGAGAAGGGTGAGCAGTGGCAGCCAGCGCTGGCGCTGCTGAGCGAGATGCGGGAGGTGAACTTCGAGCCCGACGTCATCAGCTACAGCGCTGGAATCAGCGCGTGCGAGAAAGGCGAGCAGTGGCAGCCGGCGCTGGCGCTGCTGAGCGAGATGCGGGAGGCGAAGCTGGAGCCCGACGCCACCTCTCCTGCAATTCTGGGCGGTGGTCGCGCGAGATGCGCCAGCAGTGCGCCAGCTTTAAGTCGGGCCTGTCCCTCTACAGGGGGAACATTCAAAAATAGTTTGTTTTTTAATGTATGGGGACGATGTTTGGACTATGTTTGAGCATTTTGGAGGGTATTCTTTGAGTATTTTTAATTTTTCGCCCAAAATCCCCCTGTAGGGGGACAGGCCCGACCTAACGCTAGCTGCCCCGAGCGCCCGAAGCGCCCCGGCGCTCCCTGACGGCTCTGCGACGGCTTCAAAAAGTCTTCCTCGGTGGCCCCAAGACGGCCTGTGACAGCCCCACGACAGTTCTGAGACGCTCCAGAGCGCGCGAGGACGGCCCAAGAGGACCCGCACGGAGCCCCATGACAGCCCAAGAGAGTCCGACGACAAGCCAGGTGCCTAGGAGAACGGCTGAGCTGGACCCCGATGACGGTCCCCCGAGGCCACAATCATAGGTTTTCCCTGGGTTGAGGCAAGTGTTCCATGTTCTCGCCGCCTCGGGCCAAGAACGGCCTCAGGCGGCTCCAGGGCCATCGCCCCAAGACGGTGCAGGAGGCCCCGCCTCGTGCCCCATGCCGGCCTCAGAGGGCCCGAAGACTCAAAGACAGCCTCGCAGAGCCCCTGGGTGGCCCCCAAGACGGCCCCAGGATGGCCCCAGGAGCTGCCCAACAGGCACCCAAGCAAGCTCCAAGACGGCCCGAGACCCCCTACATGGCACCAGGACGGCCCAATAGGCCCCCGAGACGGCCCAAGAAAGCCCAGAAATGGGCCAAGCGGCCCCCTGGAGGCTCCAGATAGACCCCCACTAAAGCTCGAAGAGGGGCCGAAGGGAGCCCAGACGACGCCCTTGCCGCAGCCTCCAGCGGGTCAAGAACCCTCCAAGGACCACTCCCACCTGCCCCAAAGCCTCCCAAGAGACTCCGATGGTCCCCAGGGAGCTCTCAAGGAGAGTGCCTCGAGCCACGGCGCCCTTTCGCTGTCTCTTGAACCCTAAACGCCCCCAACACCCCCAAGTGCCTCGAACCCCAGACCCCCAAGGCAGGCCCCAGGCCATTCCGAGTTGCCCCAGAGCCTCCCAATAGACTCCGACAGTCCCCACAGAGCTCCCGAGAGCGGTTCCAGGGCCACTCCGAGATGCCCCAGAGTCGCCCACAAGACTCCGACGCTTGCCAAGCTACTCCGACAGCTCCGACGGAAATCCCAAGAGCGGTCCCAGGAAGAGACTCCCATAGTTCTCACAGAGATCCCAAGAGCGATCCCAGGACCACTCCGAGATAGCCCAGAGTTGCCCTCAAGACCTCCCCCCCTGCGGCCGAGTAGGGGTGACAGGTAAGACCTTCTCCTCTGACATCTTCCCCTTTCCCTCATCGAGGCGCCGGACGCTCTGGGGCCTCGTTTCCGCCTGTTGGGGGTGAAAGGGGGGACTTGCGGTCGCCACGTCGACACGGAGGAGTCTCGCAGGAGGGCCCAACAAGCCCCTGACACGGCCACAGGGAAACCAGAGCTATTCATTTTCGACGACCTGTTCACCCACGGTGTGCGAGTCCCAGGTTAAGCACGCCGTGGATTTAATCCGCGGGTTCGCACTAGTCTCTCCTACATGGCGGGAGGAAGCGCGTGCCAAACCTGCGGGGACTCATGTGAATAAACTCGCCCCTTTACGGCCCCACCACGTGGCTGAATCGCTCGCGAGGGCCCAAGAGGCGCCCCAGAGGGGTTGCACGACGGTCCAAGAGTGCTCCAAGACGGCTTCACAGTTGTTCCCGAGACAGCCCTCGAGGCCCCAAAGACTTCAGAAGGTGGCTCCAAGACGGTCCAAGAGGCCCCAAAGACGCTCCGAGAGGGTTTCGAGAGGACGCCAAAGAGGCACAAATGATCACATTCCGACCGTAAAACGAACGTTTCCAGCATATCCGCATTTTGCGTTGTCACACGGTCCAGGACAAATCAAGAGGCCCCCCCCAAAACCCCCCAAGACGACCCAAGCGGCCCCCAAGAGGGCCTCAAGACGGCCCAAGAGGGTCCAAGGGCGGCCCAAGGGGGCCCTCAAACGGCCTGAGAGGGCCCCCAAGACCTCAGAAGGTTGCTCCAAGACGGTCCAAGATGCCCTTAAGACACTCCGAGAGGGCCCCGAGAGGGCGCCAAAGAGGCCAACATGATCACATTCCAATGGGAAAGCGAACATGTTCAGCATATCCGCGTTTTGCGTTGTTTTCACGGTCCATGACAGGCCAAGAGGCCCCCCCAAACTTCCAAGACGACCCCAGCGGCCCCCAAGAGGGCCCCAAGACGGTCCAAGAGGGCCCAAAGACGGTTCAAGGCAAGGGGGCCTTCAAACGGCCTGAGAGAGCCTCAAGACGGCTCCCAGAGGGCTCCAAGAGGGCCCGACGATGCTCCCAAGAGGGCCCCAGGAAGCTCTCCAGAGAGCCCCAAGACGGTCCAAGGCCTCGAAGACGCCCCGTGACGGCCCAAACGGGTCCCGAGACGTCCTACAACGGCCACGGAACGGCCCAAAAGGGCCCCTGAAGGGCCCCAAAAAGTCACCCACAAATGCCACTGAGGAGGCGCACAGACGACAAATAAAAGAGCGATCGGTACAGCAAAAAGCTTTTTAATCCAAGGCTCCCAAGGGCGAACGGTGACACAGTAAGCTCTTCAACCCAAGGCTCTCGAGAGCGAGCCGCAACGTCGAAAACTCTGAAACTGGAGCCCGAAGCTATCATCATCCCCTCAATTCTGGGACAAGTGTGTGGGCCACTCGCTTTCTCGGCCTCCAGCGGCGTCGGCACTGCCTCCGTGTCCCTGTGGGCTCTGGGTTCCCATGACGTCGCAGAGACAGCCTTCGGCAATGTCCGAGATGGCCAGAATTGGCCCTGACAGCCGCCAGACAGGGCCCCCGAGAGATCTCAAGCGGTTCCAGGAGGCCTCCAAATGGCCCGTAGACGCCCCACGAGGCCTTGCAGGAATTGCTCAGAAGACTACGGCAACTTCAAAGCTTTCCAACACCCAAAGGGAGATGTATGTCTGTTGCTTCGCATGCTTTTCGACGCGAGACAGCTCCAAGACGGCTTCGGGGGAGACTCTTGGCCCCCTTGCGGGCCACCTTGAGCCCTCTGGGGGCCCCCATCGAGCCTCCTGGATTGTCTTCGGGGCCTCCTTGGGCTGTCTCGGTCCGTCTTCGGGCCGTCTTAGGGCGGGCCCTCTGGGCGGTCTTTGACTGCTTTAAAAGGAGCCCAAGGGCGGCCCCAGAGGGCTCCCAGAATATTACAGAAGGATTCGGAGAGCTTCCAGTCGGCCCGACACGCCCTCCAGAGAGCGCCACGCCGGCCCAACAGACCCCCAGAGAACCCCGAGACGGCCCAGGACGGCCCCAAGGCCCAAGAGGGCCCAACGAGGCCCCAAATAGTTTCGGCCATAGGGTCCCCCAGCACGGCCTCCATATCCGGCAGCACACAAGCCAGCAGCGGCAGCAATTAGTAGCTAGCAGCAGAAAACAAGCAGCCGCTGCATTGCCCGCGGCCGGCTGGCGGCCATCCCCGCTGCCGTGGCGTGCGGCAGAGGGTCAGTTGCGACCGCCAGGCCTGCCTGCATGCTTGCAGTGACGTCGGGAAGACAACTGTCTGGCTAGTAGCTACGCCCGCAAAATAGCAGGCAAGCAGGCAAGCGATCTCAGCTTCTGCACGCGGGCAGGATGTCGTGGACGTAAGTCCACGGGTCAGCTCTAGTCTCTCCTACATTGCCGGTGGAAGCGCGTGCGAGAAGCCCAGGGCCTCAAGTGGACAACATCGCCTCTTTACGGCGCCACCACGGGGCCGAATCGCTCAGGCCGGTCCCAGAGGCGCTCCAGAGGGGTTCCCAGAAAGTCCAACAGCGCTCCAAGATGGCCTCAGTGGGTCCCGAGACGGCCCACGAGGGCCCGAAGTCTTCCGGGGGGGGCCCCACGACGATCCAAGAAGCCGCAAAGACGCCCCAAGAGAGCCCCGAGCGCACGCCAAAGAGGCGCAAATCGTCAAATTCCTATAGGAAAAACGTATATTTTCAGCAGCATGCCCGCCTTGTGTGCTCCTCAGCGGCCCAGGACACGCCAAGAGGCCTCCCAAATCGCCCCAAGAAGACGCCAGCGGCCCCTAAGAGGGCTCCAAGACGGCCCACAAGAGCCCCAAGACGACGCCAGAGAGCCCTGAAACGGCTTCACAGAACCCCAAGAAGGCCCCAAGAGAGCTCCGAGGGGGCCCCAAGAGGCTCCCAAGACGGCCTCAGGCAGCCTCAAGGGAGCTCCAAGACGGCCCAAGGCCTCCAGGACGCCCCGTGACGGCCCAAAATGGCCCCAAGACGTCCCAAAACGCTCCCAGAGCAGCCAAAAAAGCTTCAGAATGGCCCGAAAAAAGACCCCCACAAGGACCACCAAGCAGGCCCAGAGACGCTCAAGATAGCTTCCACACGGCCCAAGAGGCTTCCAAAACGCTCCAAGTGTTCTCCCAGAAGACGCCCGACAGAGCCTGCACAAGCTAACATCATGCCAAACCCTAGGGAAAACGTACATGTTCGTACTTCCCGTGCTTTTTGTTTGTAAAGCGTCCCGGACGACAATACAGGCCCCAAAGCTCGCCCCAAGACGCCAAAGGAGGGCCCCAGCAGGCCTCCACGACGGCCCCAGACGGCTCCTGGACGGCTCCTGCGGCGCCCATGACAGCCCAAGAAGCACCCAAGACAGCCCCA